ATCGATTATTGGCCCATGTTTTGGCATTCAAGAAGGTTATCTCAAATTAGGTTTACTCTCAGATTGTGCTCAAAGCAGCTGTGTTTACCAACTAAATATTCTACAACTGCTGGAGCACTTTTTAACTCAGCGGGGGCCGCCTCCCACTGTCGCTCTCACTCTTGTACTGAAATCACATTACTGGAAACCTTCACCCGAGGAAAAAGAACCTCTTCTTAAACGATTGAGGAATCCATTTCGTAATTCGTACAAAAATAAAGCTTTACAATCTTATATAGGTATATCATAAAAAAATAGCACTGGATTTAATAATATTGGTGTAGTTTGTATTTCATTGATGTTTTACCTTAGCTTTTTTTATTATCATTTAATTTTTTCTGTATACTTTGCACTTGGAACAATCGAAAACTTCCTAACTCAATGCTTTAAATTGCCACTCATTTTTAGGCCAGTATAGATTAAACTCACTTCCATATTGATAATATTGTGATTCCTGATCTATGAGCTTCGTTAATATTAGGCTGAAAATACAAATTTTCATTGCATATTGATTCCTTTTTCGTGTTATTATGATTTTTTTCGGAAAATTAGCAAGTTTAATATACTGTATTAACAAACAGATTATTAATTCGTCAATTGGTTTGGCTTATCGAAATACGAAAAATGTAAGGACAGTAAAACTACATTAATTTTAAAATAAAATACAAAAAATGACATAAATTCATTCTAAATAAAAAATAATAAAAACCTATGTCGTTGCTTTAGAGAAATCACAAGGCTATTGTGAGAGTAATATGTGTAACTAACATAGTTCGAACTATCTATGCGTATGATAAATATTATGTTTCATAACTCAACTTGAACGGTCCTCGATTACCCCTACTATCACCCCCCCCCCCCACCACACTCGATTCATGTGTGTCCCGGATTAAGCCAAAAGTGAAAACAAGGCAAGCCCATTTCTAAATAATGGTGCATTGATCCTCCAATATCTCTTTTCAAACCATATCCATCCCTCACTAAACACTATCCTATAATAGTTGACTCACTTGATTCAAAGCGACCAAATGGTTCTCGATTATACCACTGCACATTCCTCCGGATCGTTGTGTTCTGGACTAAGCTAGAAAGGGTGCATAAAATGTTACCATTTGAAACACTCACCGACGGGACGCCCAATAGATTCCGCCCGACGGAAAACGTCGAGCATAAAAGAGGCCTAAAATAAGCCAAGAATTACCTTCATCCATAAAGTCCTGCATTATCTGTACCCAATCCTATTCAAACACCTATCTTGCACTCGCTAAACTCTGTCCTATCATCTTTGACCTATTTCATGAGCAGCTATATAGGCCAAGAATTTCCTTCATCCGTGAAATCCTCCCATTATTTGTACCCAATCCTATTCAAACACCTATCTTTCACTTAAACTCTGTGCTATCATCTTTGACCTACATGAGAAGCTATTCTACGGCACTAGGGCTACGCCACGTACCTGTGTGGGCGCCTGGTGGACGTGATTGTGTAGAGTGGGATCATTCAATATCCTCTCTGAGCCTGTCCGCGGGATACCGTCATGTTCAGACACGTCTTTGACCTACATGAGAAGCTATTCTACTCCCTAGGGCTACGCCACGTACCTGTGTGGGCGCCTGGTGGACGTGATTGTGTAGAGTGGGATCATTCAATATCCTCTCTGAGCCAGTCCGCGGGATACCGTCATGTTCAGATACGTCTTTGACCTACATGAGAAGCTATTCTACTCCCTAGGGCTACGCCACGTACCTGTGTGGGCGCCTGGTGGACGTGATTGTGTAGAGTGGGATCATTCAATATCCTCTCTGAGCCTGTCCGCGAGATACCGTCATGATCAGACACGTCTTTGACCTACATGAGAAGCTATTCTACGGCCTAGGGCTACGCAACGTACCTGTGTGGGCGCCTGGTGGACGTGATTGTGTAGAGTGGGATCATTCAATATCCTCTCTGAGCCTGTCCGCGAGATACCGTCATGATCAGACACGTCTTTGACCTACATGAGAAGCTATTCTACGGCCTAGGGCTACGCCACGTACCTGTGTGGGTGCCTGGTGGACGTGATTGTGTAGAGTGGGATCATTCAATATCCTCTCTGAGCCTGTCCGCGGGATACCGTCATGTTCAGACACGTCTTTGACCTACATGAGAAGCTATTCTACGGCCTAGGGCTACGCAACGTACCTGTGTGGGCGCCTGGTGGACGTGATTGTGTAGAGTGGGATCATTCAATATCCTCTCTGAGCCTGTCCGCGGGATACCGTCATGTTCAGACACGTCTTTGACCTACATGAGAAGCTATTCTACGGCACTAGGGCTACGCCACGTACCTGTGTGGGTGCCTGGTGAACGTGATTGTGTAGAGTGGGATCATTCAATATCCTCTCTGAGCCTGTCCGCGGGATACCGTCATGTTCAGACACGTCTTTGACCTACATGAGAAGCTATTCTACGCCACGTACCTGTGTGGGCGCCTGGTGGACGTGATTGTGTAGAGTGGGATCATTCAATATCCTCTCTGAGCCTGTCCGCGAGATACCGTCATGTTCAGACACGTCTTTGACCTACATGAGAAGCTATTCTACGGCCTAGGGCTACGCCACGTACCTGTGTGGGCGCCTGGTGGACGTGATTGTGTAGAGTGGGATCATTCAATATCCTCTCTGAGCCTGTCCGCGAGATACCGTCATGTTCAGACACGTCTTTGACCTACATGAGAAGCTATTCTACGCCCTAGGGCTACGCCACGTACCTGTGTGGGTGCCTGGTGGACGTGATTGTGTAGAGTGGGATCATTCAATATCCTCTCTGAGCCTGTCCGCGAGATACCGTCATGTTCAGACACGTCTTTGACCTACATGAGAAGCTATTCTACGGCCTAGGGCTACGCCACGTACCTGTGTGGGCGCCTGGTGGACGTGATTGTGTAGAGTGGGATCATTCAATATCCTCTCTGAGCCTGTCCGCGGGATACCGTCATGTTCAGACACGTCTTTGACCTACATGAGAAGCTATTCTACGGCCTAGGGCTACGCAACGTACCTGTGTGGGCGCCTGGTGGACGTGATTGTGTAGAGTGGGATCATTCAATATCCTCTCTGAGCCTGTCCGCGGGATACCGTCATGTTCAGACACGTCTTTGACCTACATGAGAAGCTATTCTACGCCACGTACCTGTGTGGGCGCCTGGTGGACGTGATTGTGTAGAGTGGGATCATTCAATATCCTCTCTGAGCCTGTCCGCGAGATACCGTCATGTTCAGACACGTCTTTGACCTACATGAGAAGCTATTCTACGCCACGTACCTGTGTGGGTGCCTGGTGGACGTGATTGTGTAGAGTGGGATCATTCAATATCCTCTCTGAGCCTGTCCGCGAGATACCGTCATGTTCAGACACGTCTTTGACCTACATGAGAAGCTATTCTACGCCACGTACCTGTGTGGGTGCCTGGTGGACGTGATTGTGTAGAGTGGGATCATTCAATATCCTCTCTGAGCCTGTCCGCGAGATACCGTCATGTTCAGACACGTCTTTGACCTACATGAGAAGCTATTCTACGCCACGTACCTGTGTGGGCGCCTGGTGGACGTGATTGTGTAGAGTGGGATCATTCAATATCCTCTCTGAGCCTGTCCGCGAGATACCGTCATGTTCAGACACGTCTTTGACCTACATGAGAAGCTATTCTACGCCACGTACCTGTGTGGGCGCCTGGTGGACGTGATTGTGTAGAGTGGGATCATTCAATATCCTCTCTGAGCCTGTCCGCGGGATACCGTCATGTTCAGACACGTCTTTGACCTACATGAGAAGCTATTCTACGCCACGTACCTGTGTGGGTGCCTGGTGGACGTGATTGTGTAGAGTGGGATCATTCAATATCCTCTCTGAGCCTGTCCGCGAGATACCGTCATGTTCAGACACGTCTTTGACCTACATGAGAAGCTATTCTACGGCCTAGGGCTACGCCACGTACCTGTGTGGGTGCCTGGTGGACGTGATTGTGTAGAGTGGGATCATTCAATATCCTCTCTGAGCCTGTCCGCGGGATACCGTCATGTTCAGACACGTCTTTGACCTACATGAGAAGCTATTCTACGGCCTAGGGCTACGCCACGTACCTGTGTGGGTGCCTGGTGGACGTGATTGTGTAGAGTGGGATCATTCAATATCCTCTCTGAGCCTGTCCGCGGGATACCGTCATGTTCAGACACGTCTTTGACCTACATGAGAAGCTATTCTACGGCCTAGGGCTACGCAACGTACCTGTGTGGGCGCCTGGTGGACGTGATTGTGTAGAGTGGGATCATTCAATATCCTCTCTGAGCCTGTCCGCGGGATACCGTCATGTTCAGACACGTCTTTGACCTACATGAGAAGCTATTCTACGCCCTAGGGCTACGTACCTGTGTGGGCGCCTGGTGGACGTGATTGTGTAGAGTGGGATCATTCAATATCCTCTCTGAGCCTGTCCGCGGGATACCGTCATGATCAGACACGTCTTTGACCTACATGAGAAGCTATTCTACGGCACTAGGGCTACGCCACGTACCTGTGTGGGCGCCTGGTGGACGTGATTGTGTAGAGTGGGATCATTCAATATCCTCTCTGAGCCTGTCCGCGGGATACCGTCATGTTCAGACACGTCTTTGACCTACATGAGAAGCTATTCTACGGCCTAGGGCTACGCCACGTACCTGTGTGGGTGCCTGGTGGACGTGATTGTGTAGAGTGGGATCATTCAATATCCTCTCTGAGCCTGTCCGCGGGATACCGTCATGATCAGACACGTCTTTGACCTACATGAGAAGCTATTCTACGGCCTAGGGCTACGCCACGTACCTGTGTGGGTGCCTGGTGGACGTGATTGTGTAGAGTGGGATCATTCAATATCCTCTCTGAGCCTGTCCGCGGGATACCGTCATGTTCAGACACGTCTTTGACCTACATGAGAAGCTATTCTACGGCACTAGGGCTACGCCACGTACCTGTGTGGGCGCCTGGTGGACGTGATTGTGTAGAGTGGGATCATTCAATATCCTCTCTGAGCCTGTCCGCGGGATACCGTCATGTTCAGACACGTCTTTGAGCTGAGGGGGCGAAGGTGGTGGAGGAAGCTCCTCCTCGTCTCCCGCGTATCGCGTTTTCTGGAAAAAGAATCACATATTACCACCTTAACCACTTCACCAGACAAAGTACTGTGTGCATGTCAGCTCCGAATGCAGCGTGAGTGAATGGAATGAGTTGACCTATATAGAGTTTCCATATAGGAGAACACTGATCTCAGAGTATACTAATGACTTTCTTCGAGCAAAGCACGGTCTCCAGGTATTTTTATGTGATACGACATGAGTCTTGCGGAAGAAACACTCGATTCAGAAACAGCCACCAGATGCTAAAACTAGGATAGACGACGTAAACTTATTTCCTATCCTTATGGGTGAAAGGTTCTAAAATGGTGAAATTACCTTTCGTATGCTTCGATTTTTCTGATTTGGTTATTTTAACTGTGTGATTCACCTCCCAAGTGAACAGAGTTAAAAATCCAATTACTACTTGAGATGATATTTTCAGCATTAGGCCTATATATGTTTTATACTACAATGTTTTTACCCTAATAACGTTGAATTACTTTGAGTACGTATTATTGTCACGTAAAATAAAACAAATTACTATTTTTTTTAATATGAAGTGCAAGACGAGGTATGTACTGTTTGAAATCAAATTAAAATAAACTTAACTTATACATACCTTGTCTTGCAGTTCAAATATAGTGCTTACTATCTTACTTTTCTTGTTTCCTACAGATGTATGCCCCTTGAAAATGCCATATTCGGTGAAAGATATAGAGTGGATTATTAAACACCATATTTGAACTGCTAAACTAGGTATGTAATAGTTTATAGCCTATACTAAGCAGTTCAGGAGCTGCTAAATGTAATTTATAATACTTTAAGCTAGTTTTATAAGCATTTAAGCTTAATTCTATAAAACAGCTTTTATTAATTAGAGACTAGAGAACCTTGTAATTTTAATTAAACATTTGCCTACACTTTTTATCTACAATTGAATATTTAAGTCCACAACATTTTTAGCGAATTTCCCTATAGGGAAGTAGCTATTACCGTAGGTCTCATGGTAACACTTAGGCCCGGGACCGATATACTTTTTCATTTTGATGTCCCCAGAGGCCAAAAACACCATTCGTTCAAATTTTTATATATGTATATATATATATATATATATATATATATATATATGTGTCCGTGAACACGATAACTTGAGTAATTTTTATCCGATTTTGATGAAATTTGGTTTAAAGGTGTAAGGCGGGATAAACTTGAATGAGTTCGCGATCCAGCATGATCGGACCATGGGAACAGGGTTTTATGGGGGGTTTTATGGGGTAAAAATTGGTTTTTCTCACTTTTGACCCTCAAAACACAAAATTTTCCAATTTTCCTCTAAACCATCTTAAAGAGCTTAAAAAAACAAACAATTCAGTACATCAAAGTGTTTTTGTACGGTTATTGGTTACGGAGAAAACTAAAAAAATGGTCAATTTAAAATTCCCATGTTATTCTTATGGAGAATATTGTAAAATGTTGTAGTTTGCTTGTTTATGGATATCTTTTGATCAAACTTGGCAAATATATTCATTTTATACTAAGCAATAATTATTTTACTTAAAACACACACTTTATTAGTTTCCTTGTAGCAGCAAACCTACTCGTAGCTAAGGTACTCATTAAACCTAATGTTATTTAAATAGATCAATTGAAAATCAATTCAGCCAAATGGAAATTCGCTAAGACGGCAGGTTTGCTGCGGCGGGGGTATTTTTTATTTACCACAGCAACTTTGGATAATCATTTAAATTAATCACAAATTAATAAGATAGGTATTAAATGTAGGTAATAAATTTAACCATCGTTAGTGTACAATGAACGTGGTGTGAATTATAATAATCCAACGAATTAAAAACACAATAGAAATAACGAGGTATGAAATTCCAATTGAATCAACTTTCGGATTAGCTTAATTGTCCAGAGCTCAGCGAGTTTGGTTTTCAGAATTTAAATTATTATCCAGCAAATTTTTGTGTGTCCTATAACAACATTTTAAATCTGATTTAACAGAATTACTGCACACATATTTATTTCAAAGACAACAATAAATCGGAAATATATTATATACCACTTAGAAAGACAAACACCATCATTGTAGACCTAACATTCGGTGTTTGGATACGATATTATCGAAATGCTTTTACAATACTGTCGATAAGCAATAAAAACGCACCTGTATTAACTGTAAAGCGTGCACTTTATTTCTTCTTCTTCTCCACTGTCGTCTCAAACACATTAGCCTTCCGCCCATGACTACATTTCAAAGGATAAAGCATTAGATACGGTCGGAGAAATCGAACTATCGATATTTCGATGATTCATATCGAACCTTCAGTAGATATCGCAAACTATTACGTTGCGATTGTAAAAATATTGGAGAATTTTGCAGTCAGTTTTAACATCCAAAAACAATATCTAAACCTATCGAAAAAATCAAAATGATATATATCGATTGATTCGATATGACTATCGATTTACCTTGTCGGTCCAGCAGCAGGCACAGTTGAACGAGTCCTCGGGAGGTTGGCTGTCTTGACGTTTCGGTTGTCGTCGTCGCTTTCTCACTTTGTTCGGTACCGCGTACATATAGTTGGAGAACCTTCGTCGTGAATGACGAACTATCGATACCCAATCGATCATGTCGACGACGTGTCGCTGATTGTACCGCTAAGGCGTGTGGCGTGTTCACTATCACTATCACTTCACTGGAGGTTCACTAGCACCTTCGATCACTACTGGCTACTGCCATGGCGGGAACACAATAGGTGATGGAGTTCACGTTGAGCTTTCAAATCCAAACAAGACTTGGTGTGGTGTAGGCTAACATAAACGGTTAAACAATTTCCCGTTTACACTGAGTGTAATATAATTAAATTTAGTTTAATACAAGAAAATGTTGGTTTTGGTAATAATGACTGACAAGGAAATGTTTTTTTTTTAATATAAAAATCGTTTTAAAACAATAAAACGTAAATATTTTGGTAATTGGTTAGGTTAAAGGTTCATTAGTATAATTGACATTTGGTCCAATTAAATGGAAGGCATCGTTTAGTAATTATTACAAGTAAGCTTATTGAAAATGAATTCATACTCATCGCTCAGTATTAGAGCAGTAATAAGGGCTCAAAACTTGATTAGTAAAAGTGTATCAATTCAATTATAAATCATCAATCGATATGGGGATGTCACCCGTGCATTAACCGAAACATGAGTGAAAGTGTAGAATTGAGCGAGACGATCTGTGCAGCTTTGTTACAGACTAAGATCAGCTGTTTCAGTAGCTAGGATCAATTATTTGAATCCCAGTAATCAGGGAGAGCCGGGTCCATTTTCGAACCATCAAAAAGCTACAGACTTTTCTCAGGATCGAACCGGGACACTTTTTAATGATATGCGTGCACTCTAACCACTAAGCTAGCCATCCAGTAAAACATCGTATATATCAATTCTACGCAGATATTTAGTAAGAGTTGACGCAATCATCATCCGAGCTTCAATACCAAACATCTGTGACGATTTAAAATCTGCTTAAACAGTTATCAGCTGTTTATAATTTTTTTGCAAGTAACAAGCACGTAAAGTGGCGGCGACGACCATAGTTTACAATGTATGTCACTGGTAGCATTCGTACTTATACAAGACCAAATTTATTTCTACTGCTTTCACACGGTTTCACAGATTCTTACGAAAAATACCACCATATTTTTGTAGCGAAAATAAATGCTCGTCGGTGGCAGTGATCCGTGGGACCAAACAAAGGAATCGAGATGGCGGCGTGTTTGCGTGGCGGTCATGTGTAATATAAATCTATCTCGGCCTTCCACATTACACGTTCACTGCCAAGCCTAGACGTGGCGAAAATTATATGATAACCAAGGTCAGCTGTTTGTATAACTAAATGATTCTAGGGAACAGTGTTGGTTGTAGAAAGTGAAGTATTGCGGAGCTTTTAAACTAAAAGATTGATATTTGAAGGTCGAAAAAATATATTATATATTTATCTTGCAAAAAAAACCTTCTAAAAACTGTGTTAAAATTAGTCACCTTACAAGATAATTGTCTCTAAATTAATTCCGAAAATGCTGTAACAGATTCAGCGGGGCCCACGTGTCCGGTCTTTAACTAAAGTTTTAACCACAGTATAGTTTATAACCACTTAATGATTTATTGGGAACAGCAATGCACAGTTTCATGCGTGTTAAAAACATAATCAAACCGAGTGTAATGAGTGTAAAATTGAGTGACATGAGCTTATTGATGTATTACTGCATAGAGTGAGGTGAGTTGATGTAGCCATATATCTTACTGACCAGTTACTGTGTGTATCTCCTAACCAACGTTTACTGACTTATCCCAGCATGGAACCGGCAAGCTACTAGTTTTACTTTTTACAGCCTACTTTCGTTTATGCAATGTCAATGATATAACGTAAACTTCTTTAGGATAACTTTAAACTAGTTATATTAATTTTTAAATTACAACACAATAATTTTAATTTTACAACACGTTAATTTATACATTAATGTTAATGTACATTATTAATGTTAATTTTACAACACGAATAAATTATTGATTTAATTAACACAGTATTATCACAAGTAACTAAAGTCATCGTCACTTAATGTTTAGTAATTAATTACTGATATTAATGAGGTATTTATTTAGAACTAATATTTTATACAACCAATGATCAGTGTATAAACGTACACGAAAGTTTAACGTAAATCCATAAACAATGTCTTAAATTTCACATTTTCAAAATTACAAAAACAACATCAGGTTATTTGATACAAACAAAAATAAATGTATGAAAAACATCCATGGTTAGGCAATTTGTCTTTAGATAAGTAGTATCAATGTATTATTTATTGTTTTAAGCTGCATTGAGACTTAGCAATATTGAATAAATAACACTTTTTACTAATCCAATATTTACCACGCATTCACCTTTGATTAAACAGAATCACGAATTCAACAAAACAAAATACGAGCACACTGATATCTTGAACACTTTCACT